CCAACCCCCACCCTCGTTTTTCCTCTCCATCCCCTTGCAACGGAACTGATAGGCGCCTAACAATTACCATTATGGCTGCGGTCAGATGAATTATTCCCTGGGGTCTGATTAATTATTCCCTGGGGTCTTATTAATTATTCCCTGAGGTCTGATTAATTATTTCGGCATAATTTAGGGTATAATCGTAACCATTACAATTTTCCTCAAATGTGATTGGTGCATAGCTACTTTATATTTGACTAATCACTCTGTACAGTTGAAGTCGGACACCTGTGATCGGACAGTTGAAGCAGCCAATCACATAAGTCCACTCAGCTAAATCCACCAATCACAGAATTTATCATACCAACCATAGCAACGACCACTTACCCTGAATAGAAAACTGGGAAATTTCCACATTTTTTTGCTTTAGACATTGTCCCTACTGAAGATGTTTGTCCTAAATGTATTTTTTTTTCGGAAATTGTAATGGTTATGATTAATTGGTAACAGGATCTCGTGTCGTCCAATTCTGTCTGTAATTATACTCGTGATTGACAAATCAGACTCCCGCTTCACAGTCGTCCGATTTTGCTAATCACTTGTGTGATTACAGACCGAATTGGACTCCACTTGGTCCTATTACCATTATGAATACTATAGTCGAAGAATCGAGTCGAACGCAACGCCGGCATAATGACTAACATTTTTAAAAATTCCCTTAACCTTCAACAGGAGATAAATTCTTTACCCTGTGCAATGTCAATAGTGAGCCTGCTTTTCTTTCGCACTCAGAAGGAATATGATTCAGTAAAATGTTGTGTTCTGATCTTCGGTAAGCCTTTTATTCTCAGAAAGTTTCACAGGTTGGTGGTAGAAATTGTAGGAGGGGGAGGTGGGGGATTGAGAGGCTTTTTAACGCTATAATTTTGAATCTCTCAATTGAACATAATTTTCGGCATAATGCCATGTTTTCAGGGGTGATTCTCAAAAGCGTAATCTGCACTCAAATCTTCGAGAATTGTGTATTTGACACTAATTATGACAGCCTCTTCCGTTTCTGTACCCAATGATAGACGGGCAGACAGCCAGACAGATTAATAGGTGTAAAAACAGACGTACAGAATAACTGATATACAGAAGCGATAGACAAACATGACAGGCAGACAAACATGAAAGAAAGGCAGACAGTCACAGACTATTTATCTTCTTCGTCATAAAACCATCCTCGCTATTGCTCAAGCCCCCTACGAGTTTTTAGATTCTAGCTGTCAAGTTTCCTTATTCATCCCTTGTACCTGAGTGACATGTATCTCATAAACAATAAAAGACGCACATTTAAACCCTCTTCCAAATGATCTCATATTACCTTCGAATTCTCGATTCAGCATTCTGTTCACGATCGCCCGGCCGTCCTTTTTACTCCCTCCAGCGGCAAGAGTTTCATTGAGCGCGTTTGCATAAAGATAAATGGCGTCATAGATGGCTCCAGCGTAAACTTCCACCTGTCCATAAGAAAC